GGCCAGTAAATGCATGATGAAAATTATGGCATCCCTTCAGTGGAATCTGTACTCACAGGTAATAGTTGACTGTTTTAATGGATGCAGCATAAAAATCTTTTACTGACCTAATGCAATACATATACACTTTGTGGTTAAAGAATTTTGAAGTTCTTAATGTCATCATGGCAGCTACATCCTTTAGCTTTGTGCCCTGCTCCCCCGATCACTTTGCAAACACTCTCAGCAGACTTTCAGAGAGGAACTCAAGCAGAAACCTTGACTATAAAGGCATGGCTGGGATGGACTTGAATGCTGCATTTTATCTGAAATCACATAAAATTTTTTAAAATAACAGCAGGCACTGTTAATGGTTAATCAGTAATTTTTTTGTTAAATAAAACCTGTGTTTCCAGATCTTATGGGATTAAAAAGATCCTAAGATGTTTGTTTTGAATTTGCAACCCCACAACACACAGGTTACAACCTCATTTTTCTTCAAGTGTGCATTAATGCGAGTCCAGTAATCACCTTTCTGACAATATATACAGGTATAAGTTAAACCTATGGCAGATTTTGGATTTCACAGTTGTATTAATAAGGTGGCCTGTGTGAGTATGCATGCACCTAATAATTACAAAAAGTCTGTTATAATTATGTCACAGAAACCTTAAGCGAAAATAGAATATACTTTCTCACCATAACACCTTGAACCCACAATCCACAATTGGCAAATTAATTCACACAGAAAACCAAATTATGTTATGAGCGCCTCGGAGTTAAGTTTAATGTGACATTGTGGCTCTTGCGCCAAAAACCATAATATCACATTAAACATTATGGTTTTTGGTTTTAAGTGTAGAGCTTCATTTTGACCTGAAAATACGTTTGGGAAATTGGGTGAGACGTTATGGATTTGTTTTTACTGTTTTGGGAATACGAGGCATAGTTTCAAGAAATGTGTTTAAGCAATCGAGAAAAACTGCAAATTTGTGTGGACATATGATAATGTGCTTCCATACATACAAATGCTTTTCTTTTAGCAAATGGTTTTGTGTCTCTCCTCCTGCAGAAGGCGGACATGGCAGTGGCCCCGCTGACCATCACTCTGGTGCGAGAGCAGGTGATCGACTTCACAAAACCCTTCATGTCTCTGGGAATCTCCATCATGATCAAGAAACCTACCAAGTCCAAACCGGGCGTCTTCTCTTTCCTCGACCCGCTGGCCTACGAGATCTGGATGTGCATCGTCTTTGCCTACATCGGGGTCAGCGTGGTGCTCTTCCTGGTGAGACTGGGCAGACTGGATAAAGAAAGCTTTCTTTTAACTAATGTTAGCTAACATGATACTTTGTGAAAGACGGATGGATGGATGGGTGGACGGAGCTGGTGCAAGCCTAGTCAGTGACATTAAAATGATTTTTGATTGCTTCACATACTGTAGAAATGACTCCAAAGGCTGTTAGGACTAGAAGAGTAAGTGACATCTAATTCTTTAAGTTTACTGTTAAACTGAGGATCCTTGTTTTTTGTTTTGTTTTGTTTTTTATCTTAAACAGGTGAGTCGGTTCAGTCCTTACGAATGGAACGGTGAGGAGTCTGATGATGAAGATGAAACTGCTCTCTCTTCTTCTCGAAGAGCTCAGGCCTCTTCATCCGCAGAACATACCCACTCTCCAGGTATCTCAGCATATATGTCATTTTTTTTTACGTTTATTCTTGTTACAACAGAAACCGAACCTTCATCTTTTATATTTTTGATTGTTTCCTCTGTTAGGGTTCTCCCAGGCTCAGGGGCAGAACCAGAACCAGCAGAAGGAAAAGGAGACCCCAGAATACACCAATGACTTTGGCATCTTTAATTCTCTGTGGTTCTCACTCGGAGCGTTTATGCAGCAGGGCTGTGACATCTCTCCCAGGTAATTACTTATCTTCTAGCGCCTTACATGCTTTTGTGAAATATTGGGGTTTTGCCATTTTGTGATGCAATGATGCAATTTTATTGTAAACCAAAATGTTCGAAACGGTTCCTGTAATTCATTTTTCTTAACTTCTGTATTACACATTTATTTTATTTTTGTTTTACTTTATTTTATGATCAGCCAAAAGGTCTCAATGATCACTGTAATTTTAATTTCACTTATTAATTAGGTATCCCACACGGGAGCAGTTTGTGTCTGTTTTACTGGAGCAACTTTACGATTTTTCTGGTGTCAGTGGAGAGTGCAACGTTTTTAAGAATTAAAAATTGAAACGAACCAAACAAAGACGTTCTGTGAAATCTGTATGAGTGCTGTTACAGAAGACCTCGCAAACACGAGAACACACATGCAGCTTTATGATACACTCTCAGCTGCATTATTGATGCACACATGTATCATGAAATGCGGCCGATTCTGTGTGACATGCTGCCGGGTTTGTTGTATGTTACCGCTGCATTAAGGCCTGAGGCTCTTTCTATTTTGGATCTGCTACAGTCTGTGCGCTTGTGCGTGTCCTCATATGTATGTAAGTGTGTCACTGTGTGTGTATTTTGAACCATTACAGTGATTGTCTTCCTCATGATCCCTAAGCCAGATTTCATGAGATGTTATCTGTATGTTGCATACAGATAACATCTTATACATGTTGTATAAGAAGGCAGTTATAGTCGCACTTTTGCCTCAATCAGACTTTTACAGTTGTGACGATTCTTCTTGGCATTACCTTTAGCATGTCTTGCTGTGTACATGGACCTATGAGAGGGCTGGACCTTTCTCACTGGATGTCCGTTAATAATACCATAATGTTACGGCCCTAGCAGGGCCTCCTCCTGAAAGTGCCTGTGTGGGCGTGTCCCACCACCTCTTCTGCCTGAGGTGCCACCTTTCCCTTTTGTGCAGCTGACTCTTGTCAGTAATCAAGGAGATTTAAGCCCAGGAAAAGGTGAGCTCTGGGCCAGAGTGCCATTAGTGTGTTTGCAGCTAGTGAGCTGTGCGTTTGGTGTATTTGCAGTTAGTGAGCTGCTCTCTCTTTTTGACTTACTTTTTACTTTATTGACCAACGCTTGAGTTTTGTTTGTTTTCCTTAAATGGTGATAGCGGCTTGTCCGTCTCCTTTAGTTGAGCTAATTCTAATAAAACTATTTAATTTAACCCTTTTGCCTCCTTGACTCCTTTTTCTGACCTGGACACTTCTTGTTACTTCCCCCTCATTGCCTGGACCCTTTTAGGGGAACGTAACAAGTGGGGGCTCGCCCGGGATCTTTGAAAAGGGAGTTTCAAGTTGGATTTGGTTTTGATTATCTTGCTTTGTCACCTTTTGAGAACCACAACTTCCCAGTTAAGTTAGGTGAGTGTCCAGCTGAGCTTTTTAAGTTTTTCCGTTGGGCACTCTTTTATTATTTTGCCTTTCTTATTTTTGGAGTAATCCTGGGTGGGGATTAGTTCCCTGTTGGGGGTAGGCAATTCAGGGCTACGTACCAGTATATGTGTGGGTAATTGTGCTGTTCTAGGACCAGTTCTGTTCTGGATCCAGGCTGCCAATGAAATCCTGTGGTTGACAATCATCTTAACAGCGCCACTAATGAGTTATTTTGCCTTACTTAATTCAAGCCTCTGTCTAAATGAATGGTTAGAGAGTCATAACATTCATTTTAGTGGTCATGGGAATCTTAAATCGCCAGTCATACCTGATGCTTTAAAATAGTTGCTGACATTTCTCAAAATAAATTTAAGGAATAGCTTTCTCCTTCTGTTGTTCATATTACATTTGATCATGTTTCATCCACCCATCTTTTGCTTCTTGGATTGGATTCTATGGATTGTGGAGGCAGCAGTCTAAGCAAACATGCCAAGACCTTTAATTCCCTAAGAAGTTGAGAGATATAATTTTGGTTTGCACAGGGGCCTCTTCCCAATGGAGATTTCCAAGCAGATGCTCAAACCACTTGAACGGACTCCTGTTGATGTAGAGGACTGGTAGCCCTTCTCTAACGACTTCCCAAATAGCCAAGCTCCTCATCTCCATGGGAGAGAGAAAGCTAACTTCTGCTTGTACAGGGAGTGCAGAATTATTAGGCAAGTTGTATTTTTGAGGAATAATTTTATTATTGAACAACAACCATGTTCTCAATGAACCCAAAAAACTCATTAATATCAAAGCTGAATGTTTTTGGAAGTAGTTTTTAGTTTGTTTTTAGTTTTAGCTATTTTAGGGGGATATCTGTGTGTGCAGATGACTATTACTGTGCATAATTATTAGGCATCTTAACAAAAAACAAATATATACCCATTTCAATTATTTATTTTTACCGGTGAAACCAATATAACATCTCCACATTCACAAATATACATTTCTGACATTCAAAAACAAATCAGCGACCAATATAGCCACCTTTCTTTGCAAGGACACTCAAAAGCCTGCCATCCATGGATTCTGTCAGTGTTTTGATCTGTTCACCATCAACATTGCGTGCAGCAGCAACCACAGCCTCCCAGACACTGTTCAGAGAGGTGTACTGTTTTCCCTCCTTGTAAATCTCACATTTGATGATGGACCACAGGTTCTCAATGGGGTTCAGATCAGGTGAACAAGGTGGCCATGTCATTAGTTTTTCTTCTTTTATACCCTTTCTTGCAGCCACGCTGTGGAGTACTTGGACGCGTGTGATGGAGCATTGTCCTGCATGGAAATCATGTTTTTCTTGAAGGATGCAGACTTCTTCCTGTACCACTGCTTGAAGAAGGTGTCTTCCAGAAACTGGCAGTAGGACTGGGAGTTGAGCTTGACTCAATCCTCAACCCGAAAAGGCCCCACAAGCTCATCTTTGATGATACCAGCCCAAACCAGTACTCCACCTCCACCTTGCTGGCGTCTGAGTCGGGCTGGAGCTCTCTGCCCTTTACCAATCCAGCCACGGGCCCATCCATCTGGCCCATCAAGACTCACTCTCATTTCATCAGTCCATAAAACCTTAGAAAAACCAGTCTTGAGATATTTCTTGGTCCAGTCTTGACATTTCAGCTTGTGTGTCTTGTTCAGTGGTGGTCGTCTTTCAGCCTTTCTTACCTTGGCCATGTCTCTGAGTATTGCACACCTTGTGCTTTTGGGCACTCCAGTGATGTTGCAGCTCTGAAATATGGCCAAACTGGTGGCAAGTGGCATCTTGGCAGCTGCACGCTTGACTTTTCTCAGTTCATGGGCAGTTATTTTGCGCCTTGGTTTTTCCACACGCTTCTTGCGACCCTGTTGACTATTTTGAATGAAACGCTTGATTGTTCGATGATCACGCTTCAGAAGCTTTGCAATTTTGGGACTGCTGCATCCCTCTGCAAGATATCTCACTATTTTTGACTTTTCTGAGCCTGTCAAGTCCTTCTTTTGACCCATTTTGCCAAAGGAAAGGACGTTGCCTAATAATTATGCACACCTGATATAGGGTGTTGATGTCATTAGACCACACCCCTTCTCATTACAGAGATGCACATCACCTAATATGCTTAATTGGTAGTAGGCTTTCGAGCCTATACAGCTTGGAGTAAGACAACATGCATGAAGAGGATGATGTGGACAAAATACTCATTTGCCTAATAATTCTGCACTCCCTGTATATGCAGTATTATTTTGAATATTAAGTCTCAGTCTGTGACTATTGGTGAGGGTGGGAATGTAGACTGACCGGTAAATCAACAACTTTGCTTTTACAATCAGCTTGCTCTTTACCACAACAGAAAGGCATCTCTCAGTCTCCCGTTCCTCTCTCCCCTCATTCATGAACAATTTTCTGAGGTGCTTAAACTGATTTGTTCTGAAACTGATCCTTGATTTCGAGTAGACACTGGTGAAGCTAATTCTCATTCCTGCTGCTCTACACTCTGCTCACCTGTGCCAGCGTGAGCTGCACATCACCACCAGATGACACCAACAGAACCACATCATCTGCAAAAAATAGATAGGTGACTCTAAGGACCCGTCCTCCTGGCTATGACTGTCCCAAAAAATAATGGACAGAATTAATATTAAAGGAAAACCCTGGCACAAACCTAATGATGATGTAGCTCTTAGTACGGTTGCAACAATGGGCCAGGTACTGCTTACTTCTCAAGGAGTAAGCAGGCCTGCGGTCCTGGTCCACATGCCTTTGAACCTTCTGCTTGTGTTGTCAGCATGAGTTAGTTTTTGTCATCTGACCCATGCAAATATCTCCAGGTCTCAGATTGCCACTGATTCACTATTGTTGACTCAGCTTATGAACTGAAATGTGTGAACCTCTTCCCTCCTCTTTTTCATGTCTGTTTCATTAAGGTGATGCATGCCAGAGTTACACAGAGAGAGAAAACATCTGACCTGCATTTTTATGCCAGACTGTCATCTGTGATGCAAGTGTTGAAGCTAGAGTATTTGTTTGCATGTCAGCATCTGTTTAACTCTGACAGTCAAGTTATGTTTTACACACAGCTCTTAAATGCTGACTTTTGATCCCAGCTATGAGTCATGAATATGCAGAGACAGATACTATTTGAAAGAAGCTTTATAAATATAAAACACATGGACAGATAAATTAGAACAGGCATTCCATCTGGTGGCACTTATGCTCCAGGGGTTTGTTTCCAATTTTCTAGAGGTACATACTATTGGTTAAAGAAGAAAAAGTTTGTGCAGAGACCGTTTTAACTGTCGTGATTGAGAATGCATAAACATGCATAAACACACTCACCAGCTCGTTAACACAAATGTCTAATCAGCCAGTCACATGAGAGCAACTGGGTGCATTTAGATATGTAGACATGGTCAAAACAGCCTGCTGAAGTTCAAACCGTACAGAATGAGGATGGAAGGTTTTCTAAGTAACTTTGAGGATGGCAGGGTCTCAAACTCAAACTAGGTTCTTGAAAACAGCAAATTCATTTCAGAAGGACCCCAGAGGCAGTAGAGCTCAATTCATGAGAACATGAGAATTGTATCATGGATGTCCAGCCTACAAATCTACTGCAGCTGTGTGATGGTATCATGTCAATATGGACCCAAATCACTGTGGCCAAAAAGCCAAAAGCAGATCAACCGGGTACTAGTATGGGTGTTACATAACACTAGAGAGATAAATAAAATAAACAACAAAAAAAAGACTAAAATGCACTCCCAAATATTGGAAAAATGTCAATATTCAGTAGGTGGATTACTTAAAAGTGACTGGGTCTTTGTAGTAACTGCAAGTTTCCTAATCCCAGACTCTATAGTACATTCTGTATATGATTATAATTGCTATTAATTATTATTAATTATTATGCTATTAAATATTTACTGGGAGCTTTCTCATATTTGTTTTATACATGTTTTATCAAAACATCTCGGAGCATGTTCTTCAGTTTTGATGAATTGCATTCTGCAGATGGCTTGTAATGTAGTAATGTAATGTAGCCACCAGGCCCTGGTAAAAACTAGAGAAAATATATGTTTCTGACAAGAAATAGCTACATAAACTCTGTTTTCTATACTTTAATAACTTTAAAAAATGATGGCCATTCTCACCAGAAGCATGTATGGTTTGCAGGAACAATCACATGCAAACAGGCTTTTGTGTACACAGGCTGATGAGAAAGAGTCTGGCTTAATTTTTCTGCTAAATGCATCAGACAAGCATCAACTATCATCCGCTAATGATTGAACTGATCTTTACCTTTGGGATTTGAAAGGTTCAGAATATATTAAAGTGCAATTTATTTTGTGTTTTTAACCTGGTCTGGTTCGGTAAAGGATTGGGACAAGAGCTTTTATGCCATATGGTCTTTTTTTTGTTTAGCTACAACCAATGTTGTTCTCTCTAATGTTTCATGTGTCTGAGCGAACACACAAACTCCCTGAGCGTCCCTTGGACCACTGTGAGCGACAGCAGACGTGTGCACTGTGGTCACGCCAGCATCCAATCCATCCAAGTTACATGGTTCATTAAAATAATCAAATTACAGCATTTATGTTAGACTACTTTTAATTAACTGCTTTAGCCCACTTACAATGACAATTTAAAAAAAATCTTGTTCATGACCTGTGTAGCATGTTAACACTATTGGAAGTAAAAATAACTTGAACTCCAATTTTGAAAACACAACTGTAGTGTCTGTAACTATGTCTGGAAAATACAGTAAATAATGACCAATGTTGGGCAATTAATTATATAGTTACTTCTTCAAAAAAGTTACTGAGTTTTGCAAACAAAGTTTTTTGCAGCTGTTTATCTAAAAATGCAGCCAAGATGTTTTTTTAAACAAACATTTCAAACTATTTGCAGAACAATCAGCTGTTCTGCATCAAATCTGATGCCACACAAATTATTTGTGCCACTCCAAAAAAATCCCAAAAATAATTTCTGTCCACTATGAGATAAAGAAGAACAACAGCCTGATACCTGCAGGCCTGACAGCAGCAGATGTGTCACTGCTGTAACACCTGTAACACTCAGCAGTCGCCTCATTGTTCTGACACACACAACAACACTATTGACTACACTACACACTAACTACACAAAATTTGCGCTAAACATCGCAAATCTCTCACATCTCAAAACTCCGCCGTCACTCCTAAAACTTCCCCCGTCCTAAACAACTAAATGCCATGTTGCCATATCATTTTTTGATTGGTCCACATGGATCATTTTTTGACCAATAGGAAAGGCTGGGTTTTTTTTGGTGTTGTCTTTGTTCACAGGCTTTCGAGCGTTTTCCTTATAAAACGCCGTTTTTACCATTTCTTCCCGCAGTAAATATAAACAACGACAGTATTCAGGAAGAAAAACAAACATTGCAGATATTTTATCATAACTCTGGTTTTACGTGGCCGATCAACACAATTTAAAAACTGGTATAAAGTCCACACTTTGTCCATCAGTTGTTCCGTCTGTCCTGCTCACATCTCCAATGGTTGTACACGTTGCCGCTTTGCTCGCTAAAACACCGGCGTCGGCACATAAGGACGCTGTCATAGCCTGTCAATGACGTTGATCAGCTGCGTATATATGAATGTGAATCGCATCATTGGCTGGACTATGGGATAAGGTGGCATCATTCTAATCCTACACCGGAGCAGCCAGTTACTGACTAACACTGCAAAACAGAATTGTTAAAGTTTTTATTTTAATTTCATTTCAGGTTAGATTTTTTTGTTTTTTGTGCACAACGCAGATTTTTTTCTGCGCAGAGACGTGCCAGCAGTGCGCAATTGCTATTGATAATGTTATTAGGAGACACCATTTGTGTATCATCTACATAACTGAAATAATTTGTTATAACAGATTTGGAAAACAGAGTGAGGTGGAAGCAGAATCACGTATTATTGCATTTTCTGAAAATTCAATGAATAGTCGGCTTTGTTCCTGGTTCAGTCACAGTGAATATAATTGAAGAAAATGGGAAGGACACTGAAATATCCCCAGTACACCCCTTTAACCCTGCCTGCTGTGCCTGAAATGGAAAATTTATCTTCCTTGCTCTTCTTCCCCTTCTTGTCTTCTCCAGGTCTCTCTCAGGTCGAATTGTCGGAGGAGTTTGGTGGTTTTTCACCCTCATCATCATCTCTTCCTACACAGCCAACCTGGCAGCCTTCCTCACCGTAGAGAGGATGGTGTCCCCCATAGAGAGTGCAGAGGACCTGGCCAAGCAAACAGAGATTGCCTATGGTACCTTGGATGGAGGCTCCACTAAAGAATTCTTCAGGGTGGGGGCACATTTCTAGAAGTGCAGACGTTGTAGTCAAGGCAGCAGTCTGAGAAGGAATGTTTTTCTACAAGCACAATAACACATAGATATTCTCTGCTCCTCCACCAGCGGTCAAAGATTGCAGTGTTCGAGAAGATGTGGTCATACATGCGGAGTGCAGACCCATCGGTCTTCGTCAAGAGCACTAGTGAAGGCGTGATACGGGTCAGAAAGTCAAAAGGGAAATATGCTTACCTGCTGGAGTCCTCCATGAATGAGTACATCGAGCAGAGGAAGCCCTGTGACACCATGAAAGTAGGAGGCAACCTGGACTCTAAAGGCTATGGAGTGGCCACGCCTAAAGGATCCCCCCTCAGGTAGACTCTGAATCTCCAGATAGAGGATAGTCTGTGCGGGACTAATGTCGGTGTCTTGTTCTGTCTGCTTTTTTTGTGGGGAAATTAGGTCACTGCATGCAAACGTATCACACTGGGGTGTATTTTTAAAAACATTATATATCATGGTCTCATAATATTGGAATGTAGTAAATACAAATTACAACTATTAAAAACTTTCAGCCAGTCTTTCCAGCGCCCTCTGGTGTGTGGATGCCGGCATGTCTAGTTCCTCTGGAAAAAATAAAAAGGGTAGGAAAGCTGAAGTTTGCATTAAAGTTTTGTCTTATAGCTAAAATAATTTAGTTAGCAGGGCTGCTTTTGTCTGATTGTCACAATAATAGACAATTTTGTCAAAGTCTTATAGAATTATAAGCAAAACCCACTAAGTGTATCAGAGGTGGAAGAACTTGGAAGATGTCCACTAAAGGATCTATTTATAGTTTGCTGACTGGCTATAAGCACAATAGATTTTTCTGTGATAGTTTCTCAGTTTGGAGCTACTTTTAATTAGTTTGTATAAAGTGAGCTACTTATCAAGAGTTCAGCCCTGCTTAGAGGGTCACAAGATTAATCTGAGGGATTGTGAAATGATTAATTGGAGAGTAAAGAACTTTTACCTTCTGCTTGTGTTGTGAATCACTGGATAATTTATCCTCTTTGAACGTCGCATGGCTATTTAAATGAAACAATGCAAGCAGAAGAATAGCTTCTTCACGGAACAACTTTCATATATCTTATGTTATTGTCTTCGGGTCACAAGCTTAAAAGCTTGGGAGCTTCTGCTTCAATCTTCGTAATGTATTAATTTTACAAGCTTGTGGGACTGAAATGTCAATGTTTGACTCTGAAGTATGGCTAAGTAGAAGTTTTACAGAAGAGGGAAATAAAAATAAATGGCTATATTGGTGTTATATAATCAGTGGAATTACTTTATAATTTACTCTTAGGAACTGAGACTGAGGAGACTTGGGGACAAAATGACCTCTGCACAGCACAGAGCGCTGTTTCAAACTCATCAACCTGGATGCTGTTTTTGCAGAAACCTGATGACTGGCTGGCATTCACAGAGCAGATCCAGGTGTTTAGACATGAAAATTAAATGTCAAAATTGGTATTCATGATTGGAACATGAAAACTAGTCTAACCCCAGAGAACAGCTTTTTAGACTTTTAGACTTGTTTACTGTCTGTCTGTGTGTGTCTGTGTGTCTGTCTGTCTCTTAATCTGTCTTTTTGTCTGTCTTGTCTCTCTCTTTTTGTTTGTCTTTGTCAGTATCTGTGTTTGTCTGCCTGATGCTGCCCTGTCGGCCTTTTTGCTGTCTGTTGTCATTTGTTATGCCCGTCCGACTGCCTACCTGCCCGTCTTTGCTTCTACATTCACCAGAATCCTGACATCTAAAGTAACATCCTAATGAATCTCATTCTGTGTCTGTCGATCAGTCTTTGAGCTTTGCTGCTGTCAGGTAAAACGCTGCTTTAAGATAAACACTTCGATGAACCTCATTTATGTTTATTTATCAGATATGGCAGTTTGCTGACGATCACTGAAGTAAATAAGGATTATTCTGGAACTGAAGTCTCATATTGAACTATGAACAGTTTAAAGTTTTGCATTTGGTTTGGATTGTCTCTCCCTTACAAACCAGTATTCTTACACTTAAAAGTTTTCCATGACGTCCACTAGAAAGCAAGATCCTTGCCTGATGTAAGTCGTATTATTCCTGTAAGACTGTAGAGTTCCCATGCTTGAAAAATAGGCCTGTGTATAAGAGTAGAAAAGTGCTATTAAAGAATTACTCCATTTACTCTTTAGCATCATGCAGGGAGTCACATACATTCTAGTCTCTGACGTTTGTCACCCCCACTAGCATCCGTCCTGCTAAAGGGTGGAATTCCAGTGTATCAAGGGCATTGCTCCCATTACAGTGTGTGAGGCGTATCACTCCTGTTGCAGACCAGTATTTCTGAGCATGAAGAGCCATACTCACATCAGACATGGCTGCTCCTAGAGCTGGCCTTCCTCACTTTCATTACAGACTGTCAGGAGTGTCACTTCCACTGCAAAGCATGATGTAAGGTGTAGCAATCAGGGAGGACATCATCACTCCTGTCAGAGGGTGGTCTTTGTAGGCTTGAGGTTTGTCAGTCCTGCAGATAAGCATAATTCCTGTAGATGAAGAGCATCACATCTATTAGAAATTAGGGCTGTGGTGATTCTTCTGTTCTGGGCAATGGAATTCCCACCCATAAGGAGCATCACTGCCTAATTTTGTGATAGAAATCAAAATATTCCCTCCCCCAGTGATCTGGGTCCCAGATGTGAGGTTTTATCACTCCTGTATTACAGTGAGATTACTGTTGCTAGAGAGCAGAGTCCCAGATGTGTTTTGTGTAATTCCCATAGGAGAGCTGGGTCCCCAGGCACAAGGAGTATCACTGAAAGAGACCCAAGTGACGTGTGCTGTTTGAACTGCAAGATGGTGTCACTACTGTAGGACAGCAGGGCTACAGCTGTGAGGCTGATTGGAGTAAAGAATACATAAATACATAAATAGGAAAACAAGCAATACTCTTGAACAAATGAGCCCAACCTGACATGTAAAATTTTAATGAATTGTTTCCCATATAAATGTTACATTTGATAACAGATGAGTTGTTGGTTTAGTGCCATTTAAGGTGAATTGAAAAACATGGCTTTTGTCCACAGAAGAGGAAAACAAAACAGAAATTGAGCTGAAAAATATAACCTGAGGTGGAGTTGGTGAGTTTTAATTATACCTGACAGCAGCATAAAGTCACGTTCTTCCTTTTTCTTTGTTTCATACATGAATGAACTCAGTCCATGTTTTTATCAGATGTTCAGTGAAAGAACATCTTGTTCTCATTCTCTCTGCTTCATGTCAGCAATTTACGGCCAACCCAGAGTCAGAGAAAGGCAGACGAACTGGAAGAACAAAGACTGCACCATGTGGAATGTGATATTTTTTTCCCTTTGAGTTTTGAATCTATTTAATCCCTGAAAATAATCTGTGTGTAGGATCCGACTCAATCAATCGATGGATCAATAAGTCACTTTGAAATGCAGCTTGCATAGAGAAGGTGGTATGTATTTACCTCTGCTCCCTGCTGTAGATGCGGGAAGCACCAAATCAACATTTTAAAAAAATATATATAAAGGGTTGAGTTTTTGTCATCAGTTGCTTAGCAACACAGTTGTGTTAAACCCATTGAATGCTGAGCATATTGTATAATCAACTTTACACATCAAAAAGATGAGCTCTTGAGTTCTCTGTGAGCAGTCTCTCTCTCTCTCTCTGGGTTGACCGGCTCTTAGTACGAACAGATGACAATAAAAAAATCATCAGTCGACTTCATTCAATCTGCTTTCTGCTCATCATCCTTCTGCTGTTTCCCAGCCACTGTTTCTGAGCCTTAACCATGACTGTGTTTCTGCAAGATTTGTTCCAAATGACATTCTCATAGTTTTCACAGAATCTGGTTGATGGTAACAAATGGTAGTTTTTTGTGCCAAAATGGTGATTTTCTACAATAAAGTGCCACGGGGATGATGGGTTTTTGTAGGCTGACTTGGAAGTGAGCGTCACCCTGATTCCTTTGCTAAAAAGCAAAACAGATTTAGATTTTTGAGTTAGACTATTAAATAAGCTCTGTGGGAAATAAAAGTTTTGGATACTTACACATTTTGGTGGGCATAATGAGGTCCATAGGCTTCAAAGACTTAAAGTAAAACCTTCAAAATTTATGAAATGAATATTTACTTATGTACTTGATGTTATAGAACAAAACGTAAAAATCTCTGAAGTTCATATCAACCACAGTCCCATTCAAAAATCCTGCTGACTGCGACAAGGGAATTGGAAGTGCACAAATACTAACTCATTTCTGGATTGTAGGACTGGCTTCTTTGATATCCCAACCGAGATAATCCTGAACAATTAGGAATACCACCAATCTGACCAAACATAGCTGTGTGTAGACATGAAATGTAATTTAGCAGGAATCTTCTCAGTGTGAACTCAAGCATCACTTCTGTGAACAGTTACGCTGGGTTCAGACTTTTTGATTTTGTTCTGACCACATCAGAATAAAAGATAAACTTTGTTCTGGCCACTGGGAATGATGAGACCATACCAAATAGAGAGGTTAAAACCTCGAAAAAATACATACATTTTCCTGAAAACATTTGAGGGGAGGAGTAAATATGTATTCATTTAGATAGTCCACAGCTAGTTTTCAGCTTTGCACAGCTAGCTCCACAAGTCATTAATTAGCAGAATGGGTAGCTCCTGTGGACACACACCATTACTCAAGACATACAGCTATCAGCACTTCCTTCCATTACGCACGGCTTGAAAGTAAGGTAGCATTCATGATCCGGAAACAATGTTTAGTCTGTCTCAGTCATGAAAAGCAACGATTTTTCAAAATAAAAAACGAGTATTCTCTAGTCTGAACCCAGCGTAAGTCATTCTCCTGATATGTCAAATTTGTAAAATTACTATTTTCAGCATCTGATTCACAAACATTTTTAATCTGAATTTAATCTGAGTTTTTTCACACTGAATTTATACAGATCTTTTTTTAAATTAAATTATGCACTTTAGAACAAAACTCTTCTGCTGCTTTCACACTCATCACATCATCTGTTATTGACATTTCAAACTGAATTACTGCTGCTCATTGATCATTTTATTGATTTACCATGTACCGTTCAACATCATCTGCTGCCTTCTGCCACACTATAGTTTTGATCATTTATGGTATGTAAAGGGGAACAACAAGGACATGTACAATGACACAAAATTTATATTTAAAAGACATTTACCCTTTAATTTGAACTGATTTACACCTGAATACTTGACTGGTGTTCCGCCTTTATTTATCAGGTATTGACTAGAAGTAAATGCAAGTGGCGCTTTGCTGCACAGTAGTAAAATGGAATCATTTTCTGTTTTTTCGACCCAGACAATATTAAAGTGCAGTTTACCTTTCCTTTGGTTTTGAGAAACTTGTCATTCTGCTACAACTAATGGCTGAGTTTAACACAATCCACTGAAGCAATTGTTGAATGAGTGAATCAAGCCAGCCATTTACAAGTCAGAGCCAAGAATGAGCTATAGACAATGCAAATTAAACCGAGAAGCTGATGCCATATTGGCATCGACGTGGTGCCATTGTTTCATAAAATAATGAATGCAGTGATTAGCCTTGTTTTGGAGGATTGGGATCCAACCAGTGAGACCATTGTCAACATATGCTACCACTGAAAAGATGCTCACAAACAGGAATTTTTACCAGTTTTACTTATAATTAGAGACAGAAATTAAAGTGTTTGTCAAACATTTACTATTGATTGTTATTTACTTTAAAAGTCTAAATGATTCTTGTATTATAGACCACCGCACTGATATTCCATTCAGTATTGCATACTTATTTATGACATTTAATTCAATTCAGTTTTATTTATACAGCACCAAATCACAACTACAGTGCCCTCAAGGTGCTTTGTAATAATAATAATAATAATAATAATAATAATAATAATAATAATAATAATGGATTGCATTTATATAGCGCTTTTCAAGGAACCCAAAGCACTTTTACAATTCCACTATTCATTCACTCTCACATTCACACACTGGTGGAGGCAGCTACAGTTGTAGCCACAGCTGCCTTTTATATTGTAAGATGGACCCTACAATAATACATACAGAGAAAAACCTAACAATCATATGACCCCCTATGAGCGAGCACTTTGGCGACAGTGGGAAGGAAAAACTCCCTTTTAACAGGAAGAAACCTCCGGCAGAACCAGGCTCAGGGAGGGGCGGGGCCATCTACTGTGACCGGTTGTGGTGAGAGAAGGAAGACAGGATAAAAACATGCTGTGGAAGAGAGACAGAGGTTAATAACTAATTACATTTAAATGGGCATCACACCTTTAATTGAGTTTGACAACGGTGTTTCTCCATTTAAAGACCACAGTGTTCGGAGATTCAAAAGAGACTGCATGAGTCCTGTAAAGTAGACAGACAGTCACTAGTGTGCATTACCTGAAGATTTTCCCAGTTCAGAAAATTTGATTAAAAAAAAAATGATGGCATTTTTCTCTAACTGTAAGTATTTGGTCTACTTGCATTGTAATGTTCACAATGCAGGAGGAAGATGCAGGAAAACAGCATGTTACAAGGTCTGGGCTGAATAGCAGTGAATCTGTTGTTTTTATGTACCATTCATTAATAATATCATGCCTGTCATAGGTACACATGTGTATTAATGTTGCTATCTTCACTGTGGCAGTCGTCTGTTCATTAACACCAGGTTCCCTTTTATCCCTTATTGTTACTATCATCCCCGTAGAAACCCTGTTAACTTGGCAGTGTTAAAACTGAACGAGCAGGGCCTGTTGGACAAATTGAAAAACAGATGGTGGTATGACAAGGGAGAGTGCGGCACCGGGGGAGGGGACACCAAGGTCAGATCACCGTAACCCCAACGGGTAACGACAGGCAATGGCACACCAGGGTAACCGGCAATAACCCAGAATTCGCTACCTAACTAAAACACTCCGGATGGCACCAATGAAATGCTACAGGAACCTTCTATTTGGTGTCTTTCTCAGAAAATTATTACAGATAAGTAGGAGGTGATAGAGCCATCAAAACTGTGACCTTCTTTGTCAAAGACATTTTTGAATTCTTACTTTCTGATCGATGGGGTATTTTACAAAAGAAAATCTTTCATTACTAAAAGACTAACATCCACCTTACTTTCAGTACTTTTTAGTACTTTTAGTCGTGTAGAAGGAAGATGGTGATTTTCTCCAGGTTTACACAGTGACAGAAAGGTTTTCGACCCTGGACTTGAACAAAAGAAGTGACTTGGGCAACCAGAGACTGGACCAGTGACCAGCCTTGAGAAACAATGAACCCAGCCACTTTATAGGTGAATGGGGCTTTAGAACCCTTTGGGAAACTCAGGTTGTCTACCTGCATTTATACCAGAGGAACCAGCAAAACTTGATTTACATATTTAAAGTCTAGGAGTTGATTGCTTGATTGCAATGATTGCTTAAATACTGTAGTGTTTCATAGTACTATAGGACATTTATCTGTAAATTTATTTACAAAAGTAAAAGATTGGTGAAATATGTCCCAACCGTCTGTCTTAGGTGTTTCAAGTCTAATATGGATAAGAACAATATTTCAGAGATAGGAAGGTGGACTGTTTTACCTATATAAATATACAGCCTGACACTAAAACCAACTTTTGTGGTTCTACCTCTGGTTGCTGTGACATGTCATATGGGCAGAAGGTTGTCTGTGGCGTCAGGCAGTATATAATTAGAGTACTCAAAAGTTGCAAGGTGCGACTTCCCCAGATTCAACATGTTTATATGCCTGGTTTGGATGCTGGATTGAGTTGGGATCTAGACTTGCCTTGACAATGTCTGTCTGGGTTTCTTAAGGCTTTCTAGAGTTGTTTTTGTAGTGTGGCAGTACAGGTTGTCGGGCTGATGAAAGCAGAGGAAAGCCATTCTAGGACCCGGGGTTTCCTGGAACAACACTGAATTGTAAGACAATAAATGCCTTTTAGTGACCAAAGGTTCAAAGGTTGTGGCTGATTGGTTCAGCATACAAATCTAGTCTATTCATGGAGTTGAAGAAAATTAATCCGGGCTAACTAGCAATGAATTGATAAGTACTAAACCTACTTAATAAAATACCCCTTCAGTCAGTTTTGTCAGTTCAATTTTATTCCAGAAAAAGTTAGCTGTTCAGCCTTCCTTGCCTAGAGACTACAGTTTATAGTATGCAGTCTGTTTTTTTAGACAGCTTATGACGCATTCTTGCTCAGAAAACCCAAAGTTCCCGGAGTGTTTTCAGCCCTTGCCGGTTACCCAAAGTGATATAGTAATACACATCTCGCACGTAGGGAGTCAGGCTAAACCAAGCTAGATGGAGTATTAATGCATATCACTTTGATGCTGACATTTTCCAGAGTTTTCCGTGTGATTGTGCCTGTTTTTGTTTGTTTGTTTGTTTGTTTTTCTTTCTGCTGTTTTTGAGGTGTTTTCTGTAGTGTTCCACAGCTACTGTACTGCTAAAGTCACTTTTGCTAAAAACGTTGCTGCCACCACCACTGCTACTGCTGTAGCTATCGCAGCCCTGTTGCTGTGCAGCTGAACAATAACATAAGATAACATGGAGGTGCATAATGTTATTTATGTTATTTCCAATTCCCCTCCCTTCCTCTTATGGTTCTTTGAAGAATCCCAGTAAACCTAGCAGTACTGAAGCTCAATGAACAAGCCGTCTTAGACAAGTTGAAAAACAAGTGGTGGTATGACAAGGGGGAGTGTGGACACAAGGACTCCGGCAGAAAGGTCAGTTCTTGAGGCCTGGTCCCAAGGTCATGTGTTGGTTAACCCCCTACACCACCCCACCCAATCCCCTCCCCCCTTCCCTTATTAGTTTCTGAAACTCCAGCAGCTACACTGTAAAAACAAAAAAGTTGAGCTAATTCATATTTTTGATCCTTTATTCCACATTTTTATTGACTGGTATGCTTTAAGCTAAAAGTTACCTGGAAGAAAGTGTTTTTATAAGTGAAGGCACCGCTAATAGTCTGCAGCTAAATAGAAAGCAAATGTTTGTTTATTGTCCTGCATTAAAATGTATTTTTTAGTTTTAAAGTCAGTTTAAATTCAAAATATGAATCCTGTAAAAATTCTGTTTACATTTAGGGAGATAAACAGATATCAGTAAGACAAAACCAATAACAGAGCATGTTACTACTTTCTGGGGACCAACACTGTCCCTTGGCCTTGAGCAGTAATATAGCATGACCATTACACTTTATACATACTACATCACAGTGACTGAATTCGTTTAGGTAACCTGGGGTGAGGATCCTGCATGAGGAAGAAAATACATTTTTAAAATGAAAGTTCTTAAACATCTCTTAACCTGTAGATAACTTCTTCAAAACTCAAATAGATACCAGCAGATGAATGTGAACAATCAGCAGCAAGCTTTCTCGTGCCTGATTGTACTTGTTTGTGGTTAGAATAATGCAGGTAAAACATCTTTGTGAAGAGCAAAAAAGAAAAGCGCCTGTCAAAACGAACTCTTAAAACCTTTGCTAGCATTTGACAATAATTTAACCTTTTAAGTCTCGTTTACACTGGTACCGACTTGGATCAACTCGCCACGACTCGACTCAGATCGACTGGTTTTCCATTACGATCCAGTACTACTTGATGTGTGTGGTTGTCACCATAGCAATGCATCCACGTGTCCCATTATGTAATTAATGTGCGACATGAGCGCTACAACAAAGGTGTATGTTAAGGCAAAAATATACCTGCTGTGCTGTGCCTCTTCGTCAGACTCTGGGACCACAGGGTTGTTTCTTATAGCCGTTTCATTCGTTGCCAGCTCTTATAAATGGGGGCTTTGATTTTCCTGAACAAGACACTCTCATAAGTCACTGAGTGACACTACTGACCAGCCAATTGGTGGAATACAGTCTAACAAAGTCACATTTTAGTACCTCCTTGGATCCCTTGGAACCCTGGCCAAGCAGGGTTCCAAGGGATCCTGGTACCAGGTACTCTCACTATGACCTAATGGAAAACCCTGAAAACCATGGCGAACTGTGATGACTCGATCCGAGTAGGTCCTAATGGAAAGGTTACTGTATTAGATCTTCCAATAAAACTACACTTGTAAACAATGACCAGTGGACACAACAGGAAACGTGTTTTCAGTAGAGTAAATGTTTTAGTGAGATTTAAGGTGCTCATTGGGTATATTTTGTTACCCCTTCACAAAGACTGTTTGTCTCAAGTCCTTAAAGTAAGGCCTCAGTAATACAGGCCAAGGGACCTGCCCTGGAAAACCTTGTTTGACAGCGAAAAATATGTATTTTCCAATGATTTGGCAAGTAGTGCTGTAGTTTGCTAACTGTTCCTGGGTGAAATCATTCACAAAGATGGTGCTGCCAACAAAAGTTGTGCCAACACATTTCAAAAGGCACATATTTCACACTGAACAGAAACAGCTTCTGTTTGTTTCCCAACAAATTCATACAATCTATGTGTGATTACAGAAACCTGCAAGTGGCTAAAGCATTTGCAACAAAGTTTTTGGTGCATCACTGTAGACCTATTTGAAACCAAACCAGTGACTGCCAGCAACTACTCACCAACTGGTTGAGGAATAATGGTATGTCCTGTGACTGAAGCCTCAGAAGGTTAAACATGAACGGTCTCTTCTCACCTATAAGTATGAAAGCAGGTCGCAAAGTGACAAACTTTTCATTCAAGGTCATAAAGTCATTTTTTAATTGATTATTTTTTTGGTTTATTGAGGATTTTTGTTTTTGCTTTTACAGTGTATCACTGCTACTCAGTTGACCATTCTGAAGAACTGAAAGATAAACATATTAAAACATGAAAACATTTTAATATCCTGATGGCATGTGTAAACCCCACAACTCCAATTTGTACTCCTGACTTAAACTGAGAGGCCGCTGAAATGTGCTGAGTATTTTTTATGAACTTCTTTCCTACCAAACGTGCTTCAAGCTCGAAGACAAATTTATGCAAATTGGGAGGCAAACGAGCGGGGCTTCAGCCATTTCTGACAAAGCAGACATTTTTTGGAGATAAGGGGTTTTCATGAGTCCAGATCAGTGGAAATCCATCAGATTTCTTCAGAGGCTTTTCTCTGCTCAGCCTTCCTTCTGTTCTCCAGAATATTTGGTGGTCAGCACAGTTCAATGGAAGCAGCCGCAGACAGACAGACGAGTGACTCTGCTGAAAAATGTGACCTTTTACATCACTTTTAATCGCACATCCAACTGCCTTTGGGTGCCACTTTTACATGTGTATTTTTAGTCTCTGCTCGTGGCTGTACAGTGTCACAGAGTTTTGAAAAAGACACTTTGTCTGCTAAAAAAGAAAGAAGAAGCCGTCAAACAGACATAATCAGGCCCGGAAGATGAGCTCCAGATTAAAGCAGGTTTGCGTTCCCTTCACACAGGTCAGATGTAAAATGTCAGATTTTGATAAATGCAGATATATTTGCCTGTTTCTTCCTCTCTCGCTCTTTGAGTCTCTCTCTCTCTCTCTCTCTGTTTATGGCTGCTGACCAACTTTGATTAAATTGAAGCAAATGACCACAGCTTTGCCCCCACCCGTTTTCCCTCCTCCCCTTTCCTTCCCACACACAAATGCTGATGTTTTTGTCTCCAATCTGTCATGTACCTCCTGCTTCTTCTGAACTCGCTGAGTAACAGACCGTGACTAACAAATGGTGGAAAAACGTTCATCAATCTGTTGAGAAAAGACACTTTTAATGTCAGACTGAAAGTGCAGCACTGAGAGTCATGCCGATGATTGGTGTATTTCCACCTTCCCTTTGGATTAGTTTAGTGTAGAGAGAACTTTCCATAACAAAAATATACAGAGATGATAAGATGTGTCCACTAATAGAGATTCATTTACTAAAATTTATCTTTGTCATCTCTTTATTGAAGCCATTCATATCAGAGGCTGTATTCAGAAGGCTTTCACATTATGTAAAAAAACCCAAAATGCCCTCAAGTTTTCAAAATGTTTAATGTGACATGATTAATTCTGGAGTTTATCTACATTTTGTTTACACTTTGTCAGTAATGGCAGTGATCATGCTTCACAGCTCACTGAGCTCAGCTGCTGGGTTTTTTCAGTAACATATTATACTACTATACTTTAACACCACTACATAGGACAACAGATTATGTACAAGTCTCACAAACAAAGAAAAGTCCCTATAAAGGCTGTTGATCTTATTCATGCAGTCTGTAAAACACTTGTAAATACAAGGGTGATGGCAGGGACAACTTTAAAAATGACCCGTGACTGTTTATTCCCAGAAACAATTCTTAAAAGAAAATTTAACCTGCCTGGTATCTAATCAGTGTATTTGGTTAAAAGATCTCTGTTAACAAGCTGATTTCTACTATCATTCACATGATCTCTTAGCTAACTGGTTAACAACTATAAAGCATCAATGAACTATACTATTACATCAGATGTTACACACAATGACTTTGTTTTTAAGAAGTCTGACTTTTTTAGTGTCTTTTGGTGGGATTTCCCAGAAGCTGATTGGTTGAGGTTAACATGACAGTGTGGAGAGGAAATCCCACTGATAGGCTCACAGCACTTCCTACTGTTGAAGGGAGGCCCCGCCCACTATTTCCTCCTTTCTTTCTTTCTAACAGGCTGCATGCTATTGGATGAAAAAGCTAAGTCACACCCACCAAAAACCAAGCGATGCATGTGAGGAAAGAACGTGCAAAATACAAGCGCTCGCCAACTGAGTCTGTTTTTTAAAAGATTGTGATATGAAGCTATTTTTCATAAATGACACATTTCTATGACCGTGAAGACCAGCACAGATATAATGAACCTCTGAATTGAAGTATAAGACCTTTTTGTTAAGAATTTCAAGATAATTTTTTTTCCACATTTTGTTTGCATTTTCATGCATGAAGCTGCATGTGACAGATCAATAGATGTGGATGTTCAAAGGCTATGATTGAGGCAACGGAGGGTCATTCTTTTCATGAGGAGATGAACATTAGCAGGGTCTTTGCCCTGTTCAGTAGGGTCAGATACATTTGGACTTTTAAATACATTTATATATCAGATAATATTGGGCTAAAGACTAGATGGTTGAATTAGACTCTTGGAGTGACAAACTCTCATTTTAATTAGTTTTAATGTTTGTTATTTGTTAACACTTGTTAGCATTTATTAACTATTTTAACTGTTTCCTTATTGTGATTAGCTAGCAAAAAGTGATGATTTTTTACAAAGAGGAGTTTGTTCATATCTCAAAATAGACTTTGATGTACAAAAACATCAAAGCACAATTAAAACTTACTTTCCTGGCAGGTGTCACCGATTAGGTTTTATGTTTTGAATGGAAACTACAAACTTATCAGTTAGGCAGTAAATTTCAAATTTCAAATTTGAGTGGATGTCGCCCAAAAGTAATTTCATATTAAATTCCATAATTCATGGGAACTCAGACATTCTCTGAGGGGATTTATATTTCCATTTGTCAGAATATCACAGCCTTTGAACGCTGCATAATGGTCTTCCTAGTTAGAAACTTGTATTTAGCTTTGGGATTTTAGACCATTTTAAACTTTTTAAAAATAATTTTGTCCTTTTGCTTACAGTTGGATTCAAACCATAGTGATGTCATGCCTCTGTGCACCATGATTCGGTGTCTCTAACCTCACTTCTCTGTGCTGATAGGACAAAACTAGCGCGCTCAGTCTGAGCAATGTAGCTGGAGTTTTCTACATCCTGATTGGTGGGCTGGGCCTGGCCATGCTGGTGGCTCTGGTCGAGTTCTGCTACAAGTCTCGGATTGAATCAAGAAGGATGAAGGTGAGAACAGAGAAATGGTAAAATTGTAAAAACAAGTCTGCGATTTTTGCTTTTAAACGCTGAGCCTGAAATGTTTTAGCTGGATATTTCACATATCTGATGTTGCCGTACTTTTTTTTAGCTTCTTTTGATCCAAATGAAGCACAAATGTCTATTACATAGCTGTCAGAAGTTGGGCTGTCCTGGCCAGCGTGAACATACAATATATTGCCAAAAGTATCAATCTGCAGTGCTCGTCGGCCTTCACTCACATATGAACTTTAGTGACATCCCACTTTTATTCATATGCTTAAAACTTTGCAACTATATTAGCTTAAACTCTTTTAAGAAGGCTTTCCAGAAAGTTTAGGAGTGTCTTTATGGAAATTTCTGATCATTCTCTAGTAGCCCATTTGCCAGGTCAGGCACGGATGTTGGATGAGAAGGTCTGGCTCACAGTCTCTGCTCTAATTCAGTCCAAAGGTGTTCTGTCAGGTTGAGGTCAGGACTCTGTGCAGGCCAGTCAAGATTAACCACACCAAACTCACTCGTCCATGTCTTTACAGACCTTGTTTCTTGCACTTGTGCACTGATTTGTTAACTGTTACAGAGGTAGATGATCTGGAGGAGAGGTTGTTCTCCTCCAGATCATTTCTGAGCTTCAGCTTGAAATTTATCTGTTGAATACAATCTGGTGGTTTAAACAGCTGCTGGTGATGTGATCTAAATGAGTAGCATGGTACATGAAACAAGTGTGATTCGCACTTGGGAGCAAACACATGTTGGAATTTTGCAGCCAGGATGGTGATGTGTACTCATTTACTTGTTTGTGTGCATCAGTCAGGACTCTCGCAGGAGCATTTTGGAAGAGCCCGAGTCCACATAAAAATGCAGTAATTCATTCTGAGCATGATGAAAGCACGGATACCCTTCTCAAGGTTGTTTTTTGAAACAAAGCTGGCTCTGGCAACAGATTTGATTTGCAAATTTAAGTTAGGAAGAATAAAAAAATAACATAAAAGTTCTCACAGAAGCAACACCAACAACCAGAGATAGAGAGGAATATTAGTGAATGAAGGTGATGGAGACAGATGGGTAATATATGCTGAAGAACATACGTAAGGGCGAACTGAGTAGGTATATCTGAGTATTATCAGTGCACGGCTCATGTGTCTATATGGATCTGAGGGACAGAAAAAAGAATAGAACTCCAGTCAGACCACCACAAATCAAAGGTGGTACTTAACAGAAAGAAAAGAGTATTTTAGCCATATATTTAGGGGAGTGCAACAGATTCAGGTTTGCTTTAGTCAAGTTTAGTTTCCACTGTTTCAGTTTGGTGTAGTACTTACTGGTTTCTGTGGTAGTTCAGTTTTCTGTCTATAGGCTTAATTATGATGGCTTCAGAATTTCTGAATAGATTTAAAAGATTTTAGAACTTTCAGTCATGAAAACATCCCAGTCTCAAACTTACAGACATTTCCTGTATATTTTGTACAAGTTTTTTTTGTAGTAGTAGTACAGCATCTCTGTAGGTGATATGTAACCTTCGTTCCAGCTAAGTGGGTGTTTTAAGCCTGGTCAAACAGATAAACATAATTTTAGTGCATGTTTCTTTTACACCAGAGAACTCAAAGTTCATTCATTCATGGGTGCAGTTTTATTTTTAATCATGTGCATGAGCTGCTGCCCTTTTCTGCATGGAGCCACAGGGCAGGAGCAAAAACACTTCTGCCATTTCAAAGTACATCAACTGAACTCTGCTCATCTGCCACTCGGGTCTCGAGCTCCTCTTTATCGCCGGCGTCCGTGTGTGATGAAACTGCGGTCGCCTCATTACTGACTGTGCTGGTTAATACTGAGACTTTGATGGGCTGCTCAGAAGGAACAAACAAGTCATTAGAGTCGTTTTTCCACAGCAGAGGCACCAGTGTGTCAGGTCTCCTCTCCGCTGGACTTTGCATTCACTTCACATTTCTGTCTGAGCACAAAGGGAGGACTTAAAAAACTCTGCAGTGGTGACACAACATGTGGCCAAGATTTCATCAGTAAGAGCAGATGGGGGCACATACGGAGCAGGGCTACATAACGGTTACCTGCTGCAGAGTAATGTGAAGGGGCACGACAGCACACACGGGACTGATAATCAATAAAGGAATATCCATGATGCATTCTCTTCTGATACATTGTTGAAACTAGGCTGTTAATATTGCATCATAGTCTCCCGTAACAGAGAAGCAAGGGTTTTTAACTTCACTAAACATTTGGATTGTGAAGCTGTTCTGGTCTTTGCAGCTGTAGCTTTTCTTTTTATTTAAGGTTGGTTGCATGTGTCTTTGTGCTCCAACATAACTTCGGTGCCAAGTTGCGATTAGATTGACCGTCGTCTAAGGCACCAGCACTTTCTTACCCCAGCCCATAATATAATGGCTTTTCCTTAGATGCGAGACGTTCTTTGTCATTGTGGCATTAGCTGATACTGAGAGATAATGGTCCCATATTAGAGGTCTGGATAGATCAAAAGTAACTGGTTAAGTTTAAACACTAAGACGTTCGGGATTAGGTTTAGAAGCTGAAAAGAACTTTGTTAGACTGAAGCACTAACAAGTACTTGATGGACTTGAGGAAGAGCTTGTGGTTTGGGTTTAAGAAGCATCCTACACTTGGGGGTATACGTGACAAAGATCAGGACTAGTTAGGTCTAGTCAAAGGACCCAAATGGTTTATTTATTTATATTTCTTATAATAGTGGTTAAATTTAGGTGCTGTGAAGTAGTCCTAGTTTTCAGGTTTCTGAAAACTGCAGTTAGGTTTACGAGAAGATTGTGGCTTGGGCTACACAGCTCACAACAATAACCCATACACTCACTAATGATGGGATTTGAGGACAGACCCCTCGCACTGATCTCATAACCTACTGTGTCAAGGCACAGAAACTAAAGGACACCCTGTGCTCAACAGAGACACGACAGCGACAAAACTGCATTAATTAATACCCGAGGGATGAGAACGCGCTAGAAGCAGAGATACCGATCGTGTTAAATCCATACATGACAAATATCTGCCATGTGTTGGGATGTTTATTCAAGAAAAGAAATGCATTACACGTTACTTGTCATTTATTTCCTGGACAAAGTAAGTTGTTGCATTACTTTTGCATTAAGTGGCGTGAGATGCTTTGTGGCTTAATTGCATATGATCAGTATAAACCTTATGCTCCATGCTCACATTCTGACACAACTTCCTGTCCTAATGAGGCTGCGGATCACTAAAGTTCTTTGTTCTTCATTAGTAACATCTGTGCAAATCTTGATACTAATTTGTCACATAGAAGTGGACATCAGGATTAATCTTCCTGGGACAGATGATTCTTCCTGGAGTTTGCATGCTCTCTGTGTTGCTGCAAGAGTTTTCTCAAGATTTTCGAGCTTCCTGCTACAGTCCAAAGACATGCATGTCCAGTCAAGTTTGTACATTCACTTTATGACAGTTAAGATATCATATCAACAACTGTGTATTAGATTAGAAAAGTTCATGGTCTCCAAAAAAGGAATCCTTCCCACCTATATTCCAACCTGTTTGCATTCATCTGTTTGAAACTTTCCACCTGTTTAACACCAGCTTTAAGTTTTTCCACCTATTACTCAGTGGCTTTATTACTTCTCTTCACATTGAGACTTATTTTGAATCAAGTCTCTACATGAAAATGCCCCTGTAAGTTCTATAATGTCTTTTACTTATCATCAGATTCTTACTTTTTGTACTTAAAAACTGGCCAAATCGACAAGTGATGCTTAAAATTCAGTTTTAGCTTCAACGGGGCCGTCATTGGGGCCACAGTGTTGGAAGGAGACATTTTCATATTCAGGACACAAAAAGTTTTTGGTCTGCTTCACGATGGTTTAACAGGTGGCTATTATTATCTGCAGGCAACAGCAGTGATGGTCTGACTCTGCAGGGACAGATGCTGTTTTGTTGTTGACATCATATGTAGAGCTGCTATCATAATAAAACCTTCTATCAAAACGAAAAAGATGGGCAGGAGATGCAGAGACATGAGGGGAGATGCCCATGGTGCTCGGTGTCGGGCGTTCAGACTAAGTACGCTCGCTCCAAGGCGTTGTAGGCGCTGAAGCTGCTTCAGTAAGTGAATAAATCCAGGATTTATTTGTACCAATCTGCCTGACGACTGTCGGCACTCTGCAGCAAACAGAGAGGGAGCGTGGGAGCCTCAGAGGCCCGATGCAGGATATTAACTTTGGATCCACATCATTAGTTTTACTGAGAGGTGAGGCTGAGGGAAAGAGCTTCATTCTGCTACTGAAAAACAACTTCTACTCTGATCACTTTTGGTGATGACTCTTTTACACACACACACACACACACACACACACACACACACACACACACACACACGGTCTACTGCGGTAAACACTCATTCAAGCATCATTTATCCAAAAACTGGATGTGCAGCTGTGAAACAACTCATGGAGGCAATTAGGAGCCTTCAACCAGATCACTGTAGTTTATGCCAAAAGTCTTACTTCTCAGAGTCATAACTCTGTGAACAATATTAACATATATAAAGTGCGTCATTATTTCTGACTTCAGCCGACAGAATGTCTATGAATCAAACTAGAAATCTGAGGAATAAAGAAACTAAAGAACCTCAGTGGAAAAACCATCTAGTGTAATAGGAGGTAATACTTCCTCCATCCATCCTCTTCTGCTAGGCAATGTTTACTGTTGTTAATTTGTTAAAACATCACACACACACATACACACACACACACACACATTTATTATTGATACCTCATGAACTTCCTCAGCATCCACCAGGTTTCCACTCTGTGTTGGTGGATGTGACAGCCAAAAACAACAAGAATATCCATCCATTAATCAAATGAATCAAGGTAAGTGATTAGTAGAATACATTTCTATGCTGATATTTGGT